CCCGCCTCCGCCGGCCCCGAGACTGGCGGCTCTCACCTGGCCGGGGCCTGACTCGCTGCAGCGCTTGGAGAGGGGCTGGGCCGGGGGTAGCGGGAGGTAGCTATCCTAGGCAGCCTGCAGGTCCCTTAGAGGATAACTCAGCGAGGGGGAGAGAGCAGGGCTCTGGTGAACACCAGCTCCCTTCCACTGCAGGCCGGTGCCCGCGGGCGCGTTTGGAGGCTACTGGTGCTGCCACGAGGCCGCCGGGGCTCTGGAGGGTTTTCAGACCTGCTTCCTCGCGGGACGCAGGGGCCTGACGTGCCAGAGGTTTTCTGTGCTTAGCCGGACTGGAGCAGCCGCCTGGGGTTTTTCACTGCCAGCTCAGATGCCGTAATTGCGTCCTGTTGCCTCACCCGGCTGCTAAGTTTCCTAAGGGGAGCATGCGAATGGTGTTACGTGCCCCCCCGCCCAAGTGACATATAGCAAAGCCGAGCAGATTTGATGATACTAGCCTGCCTTGCTAAAGCGCGGATGCAAGGTTGTGCGGCTGCCTCCCTCCCACGCCAATGCCAACAGGTGGAAGAAACAACCCCGGTGTTACCGGGCCTGGGTTGTGCAAACGCCCAGCTCCCATAGAAATGCCAAAATGAAGTGGCAGCTGCTCTGAGCCGGACGGCTCATTTGGGTGTTTCAGCAGAAACTGAACTCTCCTGAGACTCTGACCGTGAGCACGTAGCAAGCACTTGCATTTTGTTTCTTCTGGCTCTTTCAAGGAAATGAAGGGGACAGGATTTGTGGTGTGGGTGTCTTGGCAAGTCCTTTTCATTTCTGTCCCTCTGAAATTCTTGCTTGTTTCAGAGGCGGCACGTCCTAGTACAGTCATCGCAGGACTGGGCACGAGGACTACCTGTATTCAAGTCCCCTCTTAGGTACTGTTGTGCTCTCTGACCTTGGGCAAATCGCTGAGACCCACATATTAATCTCATCTGTGTCTCGCTAGGAGCTCAGCTTAGGGCAACCCTGACTTTGATTTGCAGGGGTGCTGAGCGTCGGCCGCTCCATCTGAAGTCAGCTGGAGAAGTGGGCGCCATACATTTTCAAAAACTTCTGTCAAGTTGGGCACCCAAAATGAGATGCCCAGGATCACTGACCAACTCTGGAAAATGTGTACTTGGCGCTAACTGATAGTTACGGTCAGGAGTGATGGTTGCTCGGCACCTCTGAAATGCACAACCTTGAGGGCCATGAGGAAAATGTGGCAACCAGACTATTGGCTGCTTTTGAGCATTTGGTTGCTTGTGTTAGAAATGGTCATTTCACATCAAAAATCATTTAGAAAATTTGGCCTTGAACCTCTGAATGCACACAACTCCATTAAATAATATTTCTGGAAACTCTGAACAAGGCTAAATGAGAAACCAGTGGTCCTGCCATAATTCATTGTCCTTTCTGTGGCACAGAGTTAGCAATGCAAACCTGAGTGCTTGTGGTTGGTAGTAGATAAATAGATGGGACAGTCTGCCATAAATGGGCTCCAGTTTATACAGCAGCAAAACTCCCATTACAGTGCATAATGCCATCCTCCTTTATTCACGTGATTAAGCTCTCTATTATCTGTCTTTTGAATCTGTTCACATGTATAATAATATCTGTCATATATGCAGTGCCTTCCATCTGAGAATCTCTAAAAGCTTTATAAATATTAATGAGTTAAAGCCTCACTAAACCTCTGTGAGGTACCTAATTTCTTTACTTCCTGAAAGGATTTGGAGAGTCTCTCCTTTTATTCTTTCCCCCGACTGATGCACACACCTTCTTCCATCACTGCTGTGGCACCACTGCTATGACCAAACATGCTGCTTTTTGGTCAACAGCTTCTGGGGACCCATAAAGCATTTTGGGTTTGAGAAACCTCATGGAGCCTGTATTTTGAAATGAAAATATTTTGGAGCATTTAGTTTGTGGGAAACTTGGAAAGGTTGATTTTGTTTCTAATCTCTTGGTCAGTTCTAGTAGCTAGCCGTCTGCCTGGATTGTGTAGTATCCCCTAATGGAGAGGAAACCTTTTTCCTTTCTTTTCTTTTCTTTCCTCCTCCCCAACCCTCAAAAGCCAGGTGCCCACTTAAATCAGTTGTGTTAGAGGCTGGGGGGGGCTCTGATTCACTCAGCTGTTCAAGAATTGAGCTGGGAGCAAATTCTTCCTGCTGGATTTAAAAACTCAGGCCATTCTTCTCCATGTTGGCATGTGATTTTTGCAATCACAAAATGTGAGGTTTGGAACAGTTTAAGTTAGAAAATGCATGGCATATAGTGGTGGGTGGGGGAGGGGGGGAAAGTCTGCACAGTATAGAGCAAAGCATAGAAAGGGGTATTTTTTCCCCAGAAAGTAAGGGTTGGGCTTGTTGATTCTGTGCATTGCATGGTGTCTGTATTTCCTGATTAGCCAAAGAGTTGGTGGGGGTGGGGAAAATACATTTTTCAAGCCTTCATATGAGCCCATCTTGATGGGAGCATTGCCAAGGTAGGTCTATTTTTAGACCTAACAGTTTTGACAATGTTCCTTTAAGTGTTTGCTTCCTTCTAGTAAGAATGAAAGAACTAGGTCAGAGCCAGTAGAAAAGAAAGCCTTTTGATCTTTGTTACATGTTTTCAAAATACATTTCTCTTTTAGTTCTTCTGCAGCAAGGGCAGAAGTAGAGGGTGACTCTACATATTTATTGCTCATGAAAATGAGAGCTTGATAACATTGGTTGGAGAGTAGGCTTACTGCATGTGGGCAAGCCCACACAGCTCTGTCCATGCCCCTGCAGCTCTGACCTGCAATATCCTTGCTGGTCCTGTCCAAAAAAAGATGCTAATTATGTTGCAGAGTATTTTGTGACAAATGCTTCATAGATGTATGATCTGACTCCTGTCTGGTTGTAGTTTGATTTTTAATATAAAGAATACATTGGTTTCTGAACTCTCCCTGACAGCTGGCTGAGATCAGGAGCTCAATTGTCCCTTGTCCTGGGATGCCTTTAAATTGCCCTGGAGGTTTGGAAAGAGGTTTAAGTATGGGATCTGTATTCTGAGAGGTACTTTGAGTAAAAAGATGTTTTCTGGTTGATACGAACCTGGAAGAATGTTTCTGTGCTTGCCCCCAGTGGCTCTAGGGGAAAAGGTAAATTGGGCAGGTCTGTGAATGGAGCCAGACTCTAACTCTGTTGGTCTCAACTTGCAGCCTCCAGTGGGCACAGGCAGCCCAGCAAAGTAATATATGTAGTCATAAACCTTCTGTAGTAAGGAACATAACCTAGAGTGCTGCAGTGTGGCCATTCAGTAGTCCAAGCACAGTCAGACCTGTCCTCTTTTCCCTACTTTGGCTTCCCAAAAATTTTGAATTGAGTTGAGCTAACACCTGACCCAGAGGGTGCTTTAAACTTGGGTAAAGAGATAGGATGAAGGCTTTCCTCCTTTGGCACAGGGAACAGCCTAGAACAGTGTACTACTTGTCTGAGGGCAGCTTTACCCTGGGACTAGCTTCATGGGAAAACTCACCCAGGAATTGAGGACCATTATAGATCTCATCAGGTGGTTCAAATACAAGGCTAATTTTGGGGACCTTGTCATCTCTAAAAGAAATGTGTAACAACAAAAATAAAAAAGATAATTATTTACTGTCCATACTTTTCCCATGGGGAAGGAAACAAAACAGTATGTGGCAGATGGTAGTCATGTCTCTAGCTATGTAGTATAACACCCAGGTAGAATAGAATAGACTCTCCCTCTTCACTGCTTTCGCTACACTGGTTGTATTTCAGGAAAGAGGCCCCGGTGTTCTTTACTGAGACTTTCAGATCATGAGGATTTTCTTCTTCCTTTCCTCTGAGTCAGCAGTACTGAGACGCTGCTCCTCTCTCCAAGGGAGTTCTTGTGTAGTTCTGCAGAATTCCATTTTTTGCCCCTCTTGCTGAACACGTCTATGGCCCAGAAATCCCTAGACCAATAAGGAAAATCCCATTTGAAGACAATGTGTACAAGGCCTTGGAGAGTTACTAAGGAAGTATGTGATGGTCTTGTACATACAGCATTCAGTATATGATCTAGACTACCTGGGTTTCTATACTGGGCTATGATACTAGCCTGCTTTGTTACTTTGGGTAAGTCATTTCATTACATTGTCATTGAGTCGCTCATCTGTTTAAATTCTAAGCATTGTGGGACAGGGACAGATGTGTAGCTCCCCAGTTTAACTCATGGCGCTTCAGAGAAAGCGCCATGAGAGAGACTGATCCTCCCAACACATAGCTATTGCTAGTCCATTGGGACTAGCTGTTGGGCTGGGAGGGTGGGGGATTGAGCTCCAATTTAGAACTGACCCAGGATGAGAGGCTGCCTCTCTTCCCTTAGCTCCCCGCTTTCCCCTTCTAGCCCCTGGTACTGTCTCAGGATGGGAGGGGGAGAAGGCAGGGGAGAGAGGTCCGTTCTGGGTTTCCCCAGCCTCTGCTGGAGTGGAAGGGGTGGGTGAATTGGAGCCTCCTACCTCAGAGGGGCTCTAGTCCACCTACCAACCCTACAGCACTGCCTGTGCAACCCCCAGAATGAGCTCCTTCTGCTTCCTTCCCCATTCTGAAAACAGCTCCCTGCTCCCAGCGTGCACAACACAAGTTAATGAAGGCACTCTGCTTTGGAGTGCCCCCACCTGAACCCTTATAAGGGTTCAGATTGTCATGGGATCGGGCCCTTTTAAAGCACTCTGTAGCTGTGTAGTGATGTTTGGTCACAGCTGTAAAGTGCTTTCAGGGACTAGATCTGGCAAAAATTGTCATTTCTTTCTATGCCTTCAGAGTCCTTTCTCTCTGTTTGAGTAATAGCTGTGTGTTGCTATCAAGCTCCACTGGGATTAGACTGAGAAACCTTTGTTCGCATTGGTGGACACTTACTTATATGAGGAGTCATATTGACTTCAGCTGTATATATGTGTAAGTGGTTTCCCTGGAGATCAATGCTTGAGTGTAGGCTGTTTGTTCAAGGCACCTGGAGAACTCATAGGGAGTAACCATGAAAGGTGCTAAGGCACAAGATAGAGGAGAGGGATAAAACCTGATTACCTTTGTGCACATTCAGAATAACACCAGTGATTAGTGTCGGAGGAATTGTTTTGCATTTGTGTCGGGTAACTGAGAGCAAAATTTGTCCAAAGATAGCATGTCACAGGGTGGGGTCCCTAGGGCTGGCCGTGTTGCCCCTAGGGCCGTGTGACCTTGCTAGCTTTGCCCCACGGGCACCTTCTATTCTTTTCTGCCACGTCTTGATGGTTAAGATAATAGATGGTAAATAGGGAGGCTGCCCTCAAGGTGCTATGCACTCATTGTTCTGGTGGACCCCACTAAACCGTGTGGATTCTTAGACCCCTTACTGGGTCCCTCTCTAAGTAGTGCCTCGGTCACCACAAGCCTTACGGGCTAGATGTGTGACTCCAAAACCATCCCTTTATCATGCCCCATGCCTCGCAGATGGTATTCAAATGTTGCTCCTCCGAGGCCTTGATCTAGCTCAGTCTCCTGTCGCCATTGAGCCCTTGGCCCCTGTCTGCATGCCCTCACTGGCACTGGGCTCTGCTTGCCCCCTGTCGCTGCACCCTCTGGCACTGGGGCTCTGCATGGTAGTGTGTCCTAATGAGGCTGCCTCCTCCCCAGTAGCCTCAGTCCAGTCAACCGGATTAAAAGCAACAACATAAATGAGCCCCTGGGCTATAACATAACAACAAGCATATAACACTGGAGGTCACACTCCCTCAACAATGTGTGTCCTAGCCCAGATACTTCAGGAGCTCCTAAACTTCATTAGTCTCACCAGCAATAGTGCAGGCACTTGGGTATTTTCATGGAGCTTTTCTGCACAAACTCCATCCACTGCCCCTGGCAGCTGCCAGGGTCCTAACTGCCTTCAGTCCCAGCCCTGGGGCTTATATGGGCCCAGGGCCCTGCCTTCTTCGGGTGAGCTGACTGGGTGCAGGTGCAGGCTAATTCTCTCGTTAGCCTGCTGCCATAGTAACCTGCACCTGTGGAGTTTCTGCCTGGCTCCTAGGCAGATTGTGCCCTTAAAGGAACAGGCACCTTAGTGCCCTGCGACACAGCAGAGTATGAAACAAAAAGGAATGGAGATTTGGGCACTGACTTTTAGCAGAGAGATGTGAAGGTAAAAAGGTAGTTATTTGGGGTCTTCCCTCAAGACCTCTTTGTCCAAAAAAAAGGGCCTTGTGATAAATAGACTACATAGACAGCAATGATGTACCAAGGAAATGTGGGTGGTGGTGTAGCGGTAGGGAGAGTAGTGTGCTCTCCATGCAGCCTGAAGTAAAACTGACATTAAAATAGCAGGCTTTCTTAATGCTGATCTGAACATTAACTTGCCTTGTGTGCTCTGTATCCCTTTGGTGGAGTCAGAGATCAGCTGATGTGCCCTGGGATTGAATGTGGCAGAAGCAAGATGTTATTCCTGTGTGTGAGGACCAAATGTTCACAGGAGACATACAGTTGTCCCAGAATGGGGCTTGAGGGGACACAATGGATCCAGGACTCCCTTAATATTTATTCATATAATTTTGGCGTCCACTAGCTCAACATCCTCAGGCTAGCAGTTGTACCTATAATCCCATAGTTCTCCTGCTAATTTCCTGTCCTTTGTCTGTGTTTTATGTTGGATGGGAAGATAGAGACCACACAAATTACTCTGTTTACATAGTTAAATCCCTGCAAATAAGGAGGTTGGAGTGGCACAGGTGCTAAGGTGCATGGTTTGAGGTCACAAATTTGCAGCCACAGACAGAGGTCACAAATTTGCGGCTGCATCAGAAGCACTCACAGCGCAGCCTGTCAGATTGCAATGAAATCTGCAAATTCTGCTAACTACCTTGTCATAAGGATATGAGAAAGGAAAAGACTTCAGATAAGAAATGCAATTCTTCTTTTTTCATATTTTTGAAATGGCATTAATAAAGTATGCAATTTGTGTAAATGGCAGCTTTTCCCTGTATTTTAGTCTAGTGAAATAATGAGACACTCTTATCCAGCAGTGTGTTGCTGTTGAGCCAACTGGAGTATTGGAGTGTAGGATTCAGTGGTATGACGAAGCAGTAGGAGGTGAGGAATTATGTTGGGGGAAGGAATTTTTAGTCTCTAGTTAACATGCTGAAGGGAAGGGATGCGTTTGAAGAATAGGAGTAATGGCAGGAATGGCATCTTGTGATAAAATGGGAAGCAAAATGAGGAGCAAAAATCAA